TACAAATTAAGGGTCTGCATTTGGCTTTTCCTTTGAGTTCATGAATGTGTTGTTGAAAATGCATGAGAATACATCTTTCTGGTATATTAATTGAGCGTGGTATTGGCGATTTGGTCTTGTTAGCGGCACATCACCTGGAATGGATTCAATCAACGTATTCACATACAGTTGAAAAACTAGAATGATTATTCGAGATACATTTATTTTCGTACAAGCTGGCACTGAGTTAGAAGGATAAGGAGGCCAGGTACGGCATCACTTTATTGTAATTGAGTTGGTTAATAGACTGAACTCTCTTCTCTTTAGGCTCCGAGTTGTTTTTGGGTGGGATGGTCTCTCTGTCACACCCCCAAATTAACATTGCTATCTATATACAACCTAGATATAGAATTATATATATATATTTTTTGGTTGAGTTTGTTAACTTCTAATCACGTGTGACACAATCATATAACATATCGAAACCCAAAATCATATCGCCATAATCCAACATATATATTATGAGCTTATAAACATGTCTATAGGCCATTTCAAAAGTACACTATATTGGATTCTAAAATATAACCCAACAGATGGCAGCTTACAAAATAACCCTATAGGTTGTCATCCATGTACATTGATCTTTGGAATCCCGTAAGAGCTCCACAGCTAGTCGTGCCCTCTACATAGTTCCATGCTCACCTACAATGCAAGAACTATATAAGCCAATGCTTAGTAAGCAAGAATCATGCATGTTATGAGTATGAGTAACAAGGATATGTGACACCATGTCATTTACTTTAAACATCATGTTAAAGATGTATCATATTCCAATACTCATCAAAGTCAACTCGAAATTATTTCATTTGAAATCTTTCATTTCATTGGGCCCTTGACCCACCTACTATGCATCGGATAGAGCTCTGCAAAATATCAATATCAATAATCAAATGGCTAATATGAAATCGACACCAACAAGTGGACCATCCTCTCGTGACTACTAAAGGCCCATCCCCTGACTACCCCTATGATCACCCAAGAAGTCTTCCACCCGGCAGTGCCAATAATCATAATATCACAAGGGCACAATCGAGTGGTCCACCCTTCCGTGATCGCCAAAGGCCCATCCCCTGTCTACCTTTGCCATCACCCAGGAAGTAACACCCGCAATGCCAAACATATCCCATAAGCATGCCTCACATGCCTCGGTGCCCTAGTAGTGGTTAATAAAATATTTATAAAGAAAACTTACTTTGAAATCATGTTTCGCATGCAAAGTTTTCAACCATTATCATATGTTGTGCATGCCAACGAAAATGCTCATGAATGACATGCTTAATGGAAGTTGATGTCAATGTATTTTGCAACCGCATACTCAATGATCATAATCATCATATAGGGTACAACGACCTTTCTTACCAAAGTATGAAAATATCCTAACATCACTATACACAAATGCTAGGTTCTTGCATCATAGTTGCAAATAGATTTTTGCTTACCTTTTTGCCCTTGTGTGTGCACAAGCTCCTACGGAGATTATATCACTTTCCTTTTTCACTCAATGTCGGAAAATCACTTGTATTACCATTTAATATTAAATACAATCCTCCATTTAATAGCCTTAACACACACAAAATCCCAAAATACTTCCATTCACGTCAAAATAATTTAAACGAATTCATTATTCAAGTTACTAACGGCATTACAATCTCGTCTCATAAGTCTCATTTTTCCTCGAGACCAATTACCAACATCAACGTCATCCAATTGTTGTCAACAACCTAATACTCCTTAGAATCTATTTTCTAGGCCCAAGAGATAATTAATTTACATGTAAAGGTTGAAGTCATATTAAACACATAAATGGACAGAACCTGTTTTTCAGGTTTCATCACCATCCAACTATTTTTCCAATCCGTTTTCACCCCCTTATCCACATCCAATGACTCCCAAATTTTTACCACGTTTCTATAACATGTATTTGAAGACAATAATGCTCTAAAGTCGTGACAAATCAAGTGTTCTCAGCATCAAAATAGTCCATTTCCACGACATCAAAATCAGGCAGTTTTCATTGTGACAACTTTCGGTTTCCATTTTATTAGCATGTCATCAAACAGATTCCAGGCTATTAGAAGACCATTTATATCCTTCTAAATCCCGTACAACAACATTCATTTCATAGACACAAGTTATATCTTCAGTATTGTCCAAAATCAAAGTTTAAACCATCCAAATTCATCAATCAACACATCTCTATTCCTGTTGGTTTCTTTCAGGTTCTTGTACTCAATTACCCATCTCTTTTGCCATCATAAAATCATAAACAACCCTTATAATTAGCCTCAAGTAAGTTTATAGTTTAAACATATTATAAAACAAGCAAAAGAACTATAGAAAAACTTCAAAACCGTGAGCTAAACTCACCTATCCAGAAATTCAATTTCGGCTCCTTGTTTCTGCTTCTCTCTTTTCCTTTTTGCTTTCTCTTTCAATCGGTGGTCAATTGGGGATAATTTGTAAGACTAAACATGTTGTTAGGAGGTGTATATAAAGTCTTCAAGATGCTGGAGACGTGACTCTTCCTTAAGGATTAAGAAAATGTGGGGTGCAGCCAAGTGTTTAGCATGAGGTGGTCTTTTCCTACTATATTTGACTTTTCTCTTGGACTATTTAACTTATATTGATTTATAAGATATATATATCTATCTATATTAAATAAAAAGACATAGGAGACATGATATATATCTTAAGGATGAAGGGATTGAGTGTTAAAATGACAACTATCCCAAGCATGAGGTGCCAAGCACGATGTGTCTTCATTGCAGCCATACTTGATTTTCAACCATTATATTTGGATCCATTTATGATTATAAGATATAATAAGTGCTTAAGGAGTAGGACACGAGATTGATGCCTTAAGGTTAAAGGAATTGGGTGTTAAAATGATAAATATTAAAAGCATGAAGTGTTCAAGCATGAGGTGGTCACTAGTAAAAAATCTGATTTTATATCTATCTTTGCAGGTATAAATCAAGTATCTTGGGCTTATGTTAATGTGTTTACAATCCATTTCACTTGCCCTAAGATCCCAAAATATTTTATAGAGCTAATTCCTCAATCGTTCATTTAATTACTTAACCGATTGACACCCCATTCTCGACCGATTTCATTAAATCGTACCTCGATATTTATAATGTCATATGAGACATATATTATTGCATCATGATCATGTTCCTTTATGTTTCATGTCCCAAATATGTCAATTAGCTATCTAGGGTTTAAGGTGGTCTCGATCAACGGAATAGAAAGCTTGAACTTTTGTCGATACCGATTTCCACCTTTTCGATATTCCATTTCTTATCAAGCCAATCTCCAACATTTAGTTAACCTAATTTTCTATCTCTCATGTTCAATTGCTTTTGTGTAAATAGATATTTCCAACTTTTGTGATCTGTGTAAATCTCACACCTCTCTCCATACAAATAATGCCTCCATATCTTAAGTGCAAACACAACTGCAGCGAGTTCCAAATCATGTGTAGGATAATTCTTTTCGTACTCTTTTAGTTGTCTAGAGGCATATGCAATAACTTTACCATTTTGCATCAATACACATCCCAAACCATTCTTTGAAGCATCACTATAAACTACAAAATTTCCAGTGATGCTTCAATACCATGAAGATGAATGAATTTATACAGCTAAGACAAGGATGGATGACAGTGGGAGAGTATATTCGTAAATTTGAACAACTATCTAGGTTTGCAACCCACGTGATCAATACTGATGCATTAAAGAGGGGTTAAGACCAGAACTATATAGAGATGTAAGTATGGCAGGAATCTAAGATGTTTTATATTCTCAAATTGCAGAGAGAGCATTAGTTGCTGAACAAGCTAAACAAAGAATTAGTTGTGCTCAAGAGGCTCGACGACAGCTTAGGCAAGGTCAAGGACAGCGTTGGCCTAGAAATGATAAGAAAAGAACTTTCCAAGGAAAAATTCAAAAGCCTAAGTTTCAACCGAGACAAGGACAACAACATTGGGATCAGGGCAAACGTCTGAGGATAGATCAAGGAATATAATATCAATTTCACCACAAAATCCATTGTGATTCTTTCCCATTTGTGACTTTTTACTAGTGACCACCTCATGCTTGAACACCTCATTCTTTTAATATTTATCATTTTAACACCCAACCTTAAGGCATCAATCTCGTGTCCTACTCCTTTAGCACTTATTATAGGATGAATATATATCTTATAATCATAAATGGATCCAAATATAATGGTTGAAAATCAAGTATGGCTACAATGAAGACACGTCGTGCTTAGCACCTCATGCTTGGCATAGTTGTCATTTTAACACTCAATCCCTTCATCCTTAAGATATATAGCACGTCTCCTACCTCTTTTTATTCAATACTACTCATCGTATCCCACCAGTGTCCAGCACTACCTCATAGCATAAAGGTTGCACAAACTACTTTTTCTACTTCCGAAACTCTCGTATACCTGAACATATTCTCCAAAGTTCTTAACCAATCCTCTGCAGCTGTTGGGTCTAATGCATCCTCAAATATTGGAGGGTTTAGTTTTCTAAATCTTTCCCCAACTGCCTCAATATGTGCAGCCCTTTGTTGTGGTTGTATGAATTCAGCCCTTTGATGTTGTCCCCTTTCTCCTTGTTGTATTAATTGCTGAATTTCTTGAGATTGTCGCTCAACTAGTTACCTATCAGTTAACCGAAGAGGCTACTTGGTAAAGAGAAAATGAAATGCGGGTTAAATATCCTGAACTTTTTGGTAAGCAAATTTCGAGGACGAAATTTTTATAAAGAGGGGAGGATGTAATACCCCGAACTTCACGTTCTACATTTGGCCAATATGATTCATGCATTCTATGCTAATTACATTGTCATTTTTATCAAATTCCTAATTACTTTCTCTTAAAAACGTGTGTTCTATCATCGAGGCTTTAAAATCTTTATATAGTGATGATCTTTGACTCCTCGACCTAAGTCGTCATCCATGTACATTGATCTTTGGAATCCCGTAAGAGCTCCATAGCTAGCCGTGCCCTCTACATAGTTCCATGCTCACCTACAATGCAAGAGCTATATAAGCCAATGCTTAGTAAGCAAGAATCATGCATGTCATGAGTATGGTCCACTCGCCGGTGTCAATTTCATATTGGCCACTTGATTATTGATATTGATATTATGCAGAGCTCTATCCGGTGCATAGTT